TTGTCCTTGAACCCAGGTCATGTGTTAGGGACATCCTGGTTCCTGATACTGCTGGGGGCAGGGGTGCCCGAAGTCTTACCTCCACTTGGCTACTTCACATTCTGTCCCTCCCAGGAGAGCCACGGAGATGGCAGGCTGAGCAGAGGGACCATCTGCCAATTGATGGCGGTCCTGTCACCCGCCAGGCCCTCCCTGGCTCCTAACATCAAGCCGGGGGTCACCATGGACCTGGCACCTGAGCCTCTGAGTGCTGAGCTTATCCAAAGCCCCAGTGCTAGGTGGTGGTGCTGGGCGTAACCCTCACTGCTCCATGGAATCCTCTGTGGTGCAGCGGGCTGGGGCGGGACTGTTTTCTGTGGCTCAGAGGCTACTGTGAGGTCTGCATGCCAGAGCCACCTGCAGGCCACCTGGCATGGGGCAGGACCAGAGGCTGGGGCACGGTGTGGTGACATCCAGCTCTCCCAGGCTTTCTAGGTGCTTCCTGGGGCTCTGTGGGGCACTCTTCAGGGTCCATCTCCTGCAATGTGGGGCTCTGGGGTGAGGGTGAGTCCCTGCTGCGGCCTGCGTCTCCCGCTGAGGCTGACCTCGGCCTTCCCCTCCCACCGCACAGGGACGCTGATTGCTCAGAGCCGTGAGCTCTGTCCCCGACTCCCCGTAAGGGCGTGGCTGGCCAGTGCTGCAGGACACAATGGGGGGAGGCTGGGGCACAGAGGACAGTGCTAGGCACATCCCCGACGGTGGGCGTGAGTCTCCACTAGACAGGGACAAGGTAGAATGTGGCTGAGTATGGGGCTGGACAGTGGGTAGGGACACAGCGGGTTGGGCTCTGGGAGCTGTCCCTGGTCCCTTCTCGGGTGCCCTCCCCCTCCCCTCCCAGGCTGCTCCTCCCCTCTGCTCTAGGCTGCCTCTGCCTTTGAAATCCTATCTCCCGTCTCCTTCCCTGTGTCCTCCCCATCCTCCTGGCCTCAACTGTCCCCTGCCCCCGCACCCCCACCTGCTTCCATCCACAGCCCCTCCCCCTCCCCTGCTGGCCGCTGCCTCCCTCCTGTCCTGTCCTGTCCTGTCCTGTCCTGTCCTGTCCGCTGGTTCCAGCCCTTCCCTGTTCCTCCAGGGGAGAGGTTGGAGCTGTGGGTTAGGTCTCCACCTACTGCCCTGCCTGCCACACACCTCAGGTCCCAGACCCACTGTCTCCTCCTTCTGTCCATGGAGATGCAGCTGCGGCCCCTAGGAGGACACTGGCCCAGCCCCCAGGTGTCCTGCCAGACCTCTCTGCTCCCAGAGGCGGGATGCCAGGCCCTCTCCCCAGGCAGCCTTCCCGACCCTGCAGGAAAGGCCCTCTTCTTCCTCTTCCTCCTTCGCCTCTTCCTCCTCCTTCCCTTCCTCCTGTCCCTCCTTCACTTACCCCTCCTCCCCGCCTCTTCCTCCTTTAAGCCCGCCCAGCTCGGTGGGCTTTGCCTGGGTGACAGCTTCCTGGGCGAGGGTTCTGCCTCCACCTTGCCCCACTGGGTAAAGCCTGGGTCAGGGCCCTCAGGGGCAGGCTGCTGCAAAGGAGCCAACCCGGCTCCTCTCTTGCATCTTCTCTTGCCAGTCTCCCACGTGGGCCCCCACCAGGGGAGACCATCTACCAGACGGCCTTTACCAGGGACATAGGGAACCCTGATATTGGATGTCCAGCCTCCAAAACCGTGACCTAAATAATCCTCTTTCTGTTTCTAGTGCAGTCATGGCTTTCTGTTCCAAATGCAGCCCCTGCATTCAGGCATAATCTCTGCCTGAAACTCCAGGCCGGTCCTTCCCAGGTCCTGCTCCCTTCTGCCACTTGGGGCTCAGCATCAGTGTCACCCCTTCTGCAAGGCTGTCTCCTGACAGTCGCCTGACACGTGGGCCCCTCCCCCTCCCACACCCCAACGCATCTTACATTTCTGCACCCTGGTTTCACTTCCTCAGACGCCACCTCCACCTTGCAGGTGCTGGGTGCCAGGGGGAGCTATAAGCCAGCCAGGTGGGACCCCCCCCAGTGCCAGGGGATTGAGAACTCTCCAGCTCCCCACCCTCTCTGAAGCCTTGCCCTGCCCCAGCGGTCCTAGCTGCTGTCAGAGGCCTCTGTCTGTGGAATCAAACTCCCAGTGCAGCCTGTCCGGCTGCCTGGTTTCAGATCCCAGCTCTGCCACTCGGCAGTGGAGCCATCCAGGCTGGCCCTGCCCTCTGGGTCTCAGGGCACACCGGGAAATCGGGAGGATGAGGGTGCTGGGGTGAAGCTCAGGCTCCGGGTGAGAAGTAGCTGAGCTAACACACATGAAGAATATGACACAAAGCCTGGCACGTAGTGATCACTCAGCAGGTAGCAGAGCTGCAGAGACGGGTACTTGGATGGGAAGCTCACCCCACAGGGCATTAACAGTCAAGTTTATCAGTCTGATGTGTTGCTGTGAGCCCAGCCCCGCTTCAGCCCTGGGAGGTGTGGGCTCTTTTTTTTATATATAAAGTTTTATTAGCACATGCTTGTAGCACATAACAATTACATTCATTTCTGAGAGTAGGTACACATACATAACACATCTTAATTCTTCTTGAGTCCCTTTCTCCTCCCCTCCTTCCCTTCTTTCCTCTCTCCCTCCCTCCTGGTGTCTCCTTTCCATTTGCAATGACTCTGTCTCCCTGTTTCCTATGACCTATTTTGCTCTTTAATCTGCTTATAGTTTGGCTCAGGAGCTGTGGGATCTGAGGTCTGAGCTGCCCCACGTGGCCTGGGCAAGTCAGACTCCCTCCCAGCCTTGGCTTATCCATCTGTAAAATGGGGCTGCTTCACCAAGTGACAGTGGGAATCCAATGACTTCCGCACACTTCCTTAGTGAGCACTGGGACAGTGGCCGAGGACTCAAGCTCCAGAGGGAGCTTTGCACAGGCCTGGGTGGCCCGTCACAAGCATTTAGATCTGGTGTGTTCCCCAAAGATCCAGATGTTACAGGGTGCTTTTGGGCGGGGTGAAAACTAAGGCAGTGTCTTCCAGTCCTTGGGGCTGTGCCCTGCGGATCGTGGGACCCAACTACTTCTGCTCCTGGGCAGGAGCGAATGGTTTTGTCCCAGCACGCTCCTGCCCTCGTGCGCCGCCACAAGCCCAGAGCGATGGGGCCCGTCCGGCATGGAGGTCACGGCATCTCCAGAGCTGAGTCAGAAACCTTTCTTCTCTCCGACCTGATTCATCGCAGGCATTTGTTACAGTGCAGCTGCCTGAGAAGGCAAGCGACCCCTTGTGCCCTGTGGGTTCCTCTCGCCCGGGGTTCCTCCCTGGAGCAGCTGGGGGCTGAGACTCCTGGGCCTGCAGCCTGCTGAACTTACCCGCAGCATCTGCATCTTGGAGGCTGAAGCCTAAGCCGGGAAGGCCGGGTTCCGGGGGGAAGGTCTCCCTGGCAGATTTGCTTGGAACTAAGGGAATTTCTGGGATGTGGGGCTTTCAGTGCTGAAACGTGGGAGCATCCAGGCAGGCTGGGATGAGTTAGTCACTTCCAGGGCAGTGGGGGTGGGAAGAACACACACAAAGTGGAGGCTGGGAGGTGTCGGGTCGATGGCGGTGACGGCTGGGGCTCCGCGTGTCACAGCTGACACAGCCCCTCTGCTGGGTTTCCCAAGCCTCCCAGTGATCTGCTTGATCTCTCCATGTGGAAGACTCCGAGAAACTCAGGCACAGAAGGAACTGGCAGCACGTCTGGGTCGCCAGAGTTGGAGGACTCACCCGCTCTCCCGAGTGGGAACCCAAGCCCACTCTCCTCCCCTCTCATCTACGGCTGAGTGGTGAAACTTTGGGAGGGGTGGCTCTGCCCCGGGTGGGGACCCCAGGCCAGATCCAAGAGGAGGGGAGACACTCAGCTCTCCCGCCACCAGGCTGCGCTCCCCAAACTTGCCCACCAGGCCCGTTGTTACCGTGGCACTGTGTGTCCTTGGGTAAGCAAGCTTCCTCTCTGGCCTTGGGTGGGACGATGTCTCCTACTGACCTGGCAGGGCTTTGCTGAGGCTCAGCCAGGGAGACCCTGTTCTGAGGGTGTGCGGAGAACACTGATAAGAATAACACAACTCACAGAGTGTCCCTCTTTCAGGGCACCTCTAACTCCACACAAGGACACTCAGTGGGGAAGTGGCTGTATTCTCCGTTTTCCAGGCGGGAGCACTGAGTGAGGTCAGGGGAAGATGTTGCCCAAAGTGGTCACAGGAAGCGAGGGTCGGGCTGGGAAGCCAGGCCAAAGGGAGCGGGCACAGTGCCCCCTCCAGACCCTGCTCCCAGAGTGCACTTGGTCCTTTTGCCTCGCCCTACTCCATTCTTCACCCTCTGATTTCTCTTCTCACTGTGCTATCACGAGTGGGAATCAGATGATTGGTTTTCCTGCTCATTATCCACGCCTCCCACTTAAGCGGCGGATCCAAGAGGAGAAAGATTTTGTCTTTTATGTTCCCTGAAAAATCCTCAATGTCTGAGCAGATCCTCAGGGAAGATTTGTCGAAGAATTCGATCATTTTCTAATTAATAGTACGACAAAGGAAGTGTGGTGCACCGCAGCGCCAGCTGTAATGCATTGCCCCGTGCCAGCCAGAAGATGGCAGCAGAGAACAAGGCACCTGCCGGGTGGAGCCCAGGTGAAGCGGCAGGTTTGACCTGCCCGGGTCCTATAGCTCTCTCTCTCTCTCTGTATCTCTCTCTCTCTCTCTGATGGAGTGCATCTTCTTCCACCTCCTTACCCTAATCACTAGCCAGGCTTGAAGGTCCCAACCCAACAAAAGGAATCCTGTTTTGCTACCATACATAAGAACTGTCACTGAATATGCCGAAAAGGAGCGTGCACCAGGCGCCGCATGCGCCCTACTGCATTGGACGCCACGGCACTTAGCCTTGATTCGTGGGCCATGCGGACCGGAAGCCAAGGTGCAATCATACTGCCCACCTCACAGTCAGTGGGGTGCCTGGGGTCCTTAACCACGGTGAGATAAAGCCTCTAATCTTCCACTAGTCCACCGAGAAATCAATGGACTGCACCAGGAGGGAGTGAGTTCCCCGCGGCTGGAGGTGTGCAAGCTGCATCGGGTAAACTTCCGGCAGGTGGAGAGGTTGCAGGGGCACAAGGTGCCCAAAGCCGCTCCTGGCCAGGCAGAGCCCAGTACAAAGTCGGAAGGCTCTCAAGACAGCGACAGCGGGGTGCTGAGCTCAGTGCACAGCCCCTCCCAGCTGGAGGCTCTGTGTGACCACGCGGGTGCACACTCCCTGGGTCTGGGGCTGCTATGGGAGGGATGGCGTCAGGGTCGTCCCAAGGCTGGCGTGATGCTAAGGGCCTGCACAGGACGGGGAGGCGGCCAGAGGGACCTGGCCTTGAGCCCGCTCGGCGTGAGCCCAGCCCTGCAGCAACCCAGGCCTCTCGGATCGTTGCTTCTCCCAGGACAGGGCCCTGTGTCCCTGCACCTTTTATCTTCCTCTCCTGCCTGTAATTTATCTCCCTGTGAAGTGCTTGGCGCGGCCCTGGAGGCAAAAGGCCATTTTGATGGCCCATGAATCTTTCCTTTACGGATCCGCCGGCCACTCTGTGCATGGCCGGGCTGACCCACCACTTCCTCCCTGCCAAGCAAGGATTAGGGAGCCGTAAAACAAGGACCCCAACTCCCTGGCCGGAGAGCTCACAGATGGGACTCAGATGCTCCAGCCGGAGGAGAGGGGCTGCCAGGACTAGACCCTTTCCTGGGGAGCCCCCATTTCTAGGCCCCTGCCCCACAGAGGGGGACCTCCTGTCCAAGCCTAGTGAGAGACACCCCCAAAGGGAGAAGGGCTGTCTGCTGATGCTGGAGGTAAGAGCAGGGAGCAAGGGAGCCCAGGCTGGCCGGGGAGGGAGGGCAGCCTGGTGGAGCTCGGCACGCAGAGCTGAGCACCAGCATGGCTGGGCACTTACCATATACGTGGTGGCCAGGTCTTCCTGGGCTGCCCTCGTCCACTAGGAACAGATGGAGAAGCCAGGCACGAGGTGAAGTCGCTTGCTGAGGCCACACAGGAAGTGATAAGGCCGGTGTCGGAAGCAGGGAATAGATAACAAAGGGAAATTCCCCCATAGAGAAATTTTAAACGCATCACTCTCAAAAAACATTTCCTAAATGCTATCTATTTTTAAAACTTGGTCACCATGAATGTCATCATTACTCCGTTTCCCTGAAAATGAGATCTAACTAGAAAATAATCAGCCTTGAGCCCTAGAGATCCGAAAGGCCAGACCCAGTCAGCTTGCCGTACCTGGCTTACAGAGTGGCCTCCGAGCAAGGGAAGAGTGACATGTTGGCTTCTGCACCACACTGGCCATCACCATGGAAACGACAAGTGCTTATTTTCCAGGTAGGTCTTATTTTCAGGGAAACACATACTGATAAAAAAATTAAATGAAAATAAGAGGTGTGTGGTACAAAATTCTGAAGCAACATAAACTAAGACTTTGAGAAAGATGTTTGTCTCTCCTCCCTTGTTGGTTCTAGACCCCCACATCTCATCCCAAGAAGCAACCCTGGCTACTAAGTATTAATAGCTTTCCAGAAAGAGTCTAGTGACTAGAAATAACTGACATTTTTTATCTCTTCCATATATATTGTTGCATTTTTTACTTTAAAGAATCTTAATATATCTTGGAGATATATCCGTGTAAGAATGTATAAAGACTGTCTCCTTCTTCTTCCTGGCTATAGTTTATTCCACTGTGTGGATGGGGTGTTTTGGCTAGCTATTGCTATGTAACAAATGACCCTGCCTCTGAGTGGTTTCCTACTTATCATTTAGTGTATTGCATGTGTCTGTGGGTTGCTGGTTCTGCTGATGTTGGCCAGGTGCACTCAGCCCTCTCTGGCTGGGGCAGGTTGGCTCGGGGGTAGTTGGTTGGGTGGCTTCAGCTGGGTCCTGCGTGAGTCGCCCACATCCCTGCGGCAGACTGGCCTGGCTGTGTTCTTAGAGCAAGGCGGGATGCAAAGGGAACAATGCCAGCAGCACGGAGGGCCCGGCACCCCTGCTTGTGTCCCAGTCACTCGCTGGTCTAAGAGCCATGGGTAGCGTTACAGAGTTGCTGGGCAAAGGTGCAAGGCCATTCTGCCCGGGCCATCAGACCAAGCTTGATTCACCTGGACCTTAGTGCAGAGGGCGGAGCAGGAAATCACACAGGGCCGTGCCACGCCCACCTTGGGGAGGCAGTCCTGGCCTTCTGACCCAGGGAAGGTGTCCCTGGCATGGCCTCTCCACCTGGAGCCCCACTTAGACCCAGGACCATCCAATCATGCAGCTGCCACCCTCCCAGCTGCAGGGCTGGGGCTTGGGAAGTGGCTGTCCTGCCTAGGAGGCAGGCGGGGCCTCTGCCCCAAGCTGAATGAACCTGGCTGGCTTCACAGCCAATGATGTCCCTGGAGAATGTGGAAAAAGGTCTTCTTCTCTCAGTGTACACGCTGTGAGGCCCCTGCAGCCAGCCCCTGAGCTGGCTCTGGAGGCCTAGACCCATAGGGAAGATAATTTAAATGATAGTCAAAGGATGGGAGTCTTAAAAAGGAGGAGAGACATCCCTGCTAGCTTGGGAAGGGCATCTGCAAAGAATCCCTTGAGGATGGGACAAGAGCTCCAGGCTATGAAGGATGAGTAGGAGTTCACCAATAGGCCCAGAAAGAAAAAAAGGATATTCTAGACAAAAGGCACAGCCAGGGGAAGGGAGTGGAGGTGTGGGCAGGGCTGGAGGAGTGGCAGAGTATGTGTGTGAGCTAGAAGGAGGCTAGAAGGAGACACACCGAGGAAAGCCAGGACCAAAAATCCTAGAAAAATGTTCCCACACCTGAGGTGTATTTCATGGTATGCAGGCAAAGCCTACACATCCGCAGTCTCAGACGCAGTGAGGCTTCCTCCAGGAGCCCGTCCTGGCCCCAGCTGGCTCAGGGCCGCCACTGAGGTATGCAGTGCAGCATGTGTGACACTCGGGGTTCTGTGTTGTTGCTGTGGCTGCCTGGTTATCGTCATCTGCTCCCATCAGTGTTGAGTGCTCTCTAGTGGGGCCAGGTGGTTCCTGTCATCCTGGTGTCCTCAGCACCATACACAGGCTCAGTAGCTGCAAGGCTCCTGTTCAACACTTAACAGCTGAATGACTGACTGAACGGATGGATGAATGAATGAACGGATAGATGACTGAAAATATGAATGGGTAGAAGGGTGAATGAATGAATGGCTGGCTGGATGAATAATAAATGGATAGCAGAATGGGTGAATAGTGGGATGGATGAATGAATGAATAGATGGTTGGATGGATGGATGAGTGGATGGATGAGTGGATGGATGGATGGGTGGATGGATGGGTGGGTGGATGGATGGGTGGGTGAATGGATGGATGAGTGGATGGATGGGTGAATGGATGGACGAGTGGGCGGATGGACGAGTGGGCGGATGGACGGGTGGGCGGGTGGACGGATGGGTGGATGGACGGGTGAATGGATGGACGGGTGGATGGATGGACGAGTGGATGGATGGATGGGTGGATGGATGGATGACTGAACAGGAAAATGAACAGAGGAAACAAAGACAAATAGATAGCAGTACTGGATTATGGGTGACTCCAATGTCTATTTTATAATCTGTCCTGTCTGCAGCTTTCCCCTGGTTTTATTTTATAATCGAGTGAAAATCAAATACACATTTTTCTAATGAGGGACCAAGAGGCTGCTGTGGGGGGACAAGTGAGGTGGCTGCTGCTGTGTCCTGGTGTGGGGCAACATTAAAGGATGGGGGCCACACGAAAGGGGCCCTGACGGAGCAGGGCCTTGCTTTCCTCAACTGATAAACAGTAGCCGTGCCTGTACTTAAATGACAAAGTTCAAAGAAAAACCGTCATCCTGTGTTAAACTCAGTCTCAGCCTTCTGCCATCCTGGTTAATGCCCCTCACTCCCAGGTGAGGGTCATTATCCTTATTGTTCAAATGGGGAAGCTGAGGCAGTTGTCCATTCAAATCCTAGTTCAGCCCTAATTAAGTAGTGATGGTTAAGTTGATTATGTCACCTTGACTAGCTTGGAAGCCACCCAAGGGATGTTAGGGTACACTTCCGGGTGTGTCTGGGTGGGTCATGGAAGGCTGATCTCGGGTACTAGATCTGGTCTCTGGCCCCTTCCCTTCTGGTGCTGTTCCCTTACTCTGCTTCCCAGCTGCCGTGAACTAACCAGCTTCGTTCTACCACACCTTCTGCCGTATGTTACTGTTTGGAGCCAGTAGACCATGGACTGAGTCACTCAGAACCGTGAGTCAAGTCAAACCTCTCATCTTTTGAATTGTGTCAGACTTTGTGCCTAGCAAGGGGAAAGCCAGCTAACCTAGGATGAGAGACCCACAGAAAGTTGTTTCCAAACCTCAGATTCCCTATCTGGAAAGAGAGGACAAAAAAGTCCCTTGCAGCAGCCAGTGGGATTGTGTGCGTAATTCGACACGGGCAGCACCGTGAGCTGTCCCTCTCACCATGGCCAGAGAGGTGAAGTTGTATCCTATAGTCACACAGCAAACAAGTGGCTGAGCTGGGGACCCTGGTCTCTTCCCATCCCCAGGGAGGGAGGCTCCCTCTCAGACAGGGTGCTGACTGGCCGAAGCCGGGCATGCAGTGGGGCTGGCTGTGGGGCCCTGCCGCGAGCATCTCCCTGGTGGGCAGTGTGGACAGAAAGGATCACAGGGGTTGGTCCATCAGGGGCTCCGGGCCGTGTACCCAATGAATCGGGTGGTTTCCCAGCAGCAGCCGCCGCACTGCTAATGGCCTCCTTCATAACCATCCGAGTGATAACAGACAGATTTAATTAAAAAGCGCACACGTCCCCCCTCGGCAGGGTGGCTGCAGCCAGGGCGTGGGGCCTGCAATGAAAACTTAGCTCTATAAAGTCAGTGCACAGGCGTGGGGGCCTGGAGCTGCCGGGATTTCTAGAAAGAATGTGCCCCCCTCCCTGCCCACATTATTTATCGAGTTAATTTTGTCCTCTGGCCGCAGTGTGAACAACTCCCAGCTCCTGAGCTCTGACCTGGCCTCGCCTCCTGTTGCCAGGCTGTGCTGGGCACAGCCACCTTTTTTGGGGAGGAGCGAGGCTGGGGACACCAGCTTTGCACCCAGGTGACATGAGCGTGGCCGTCTGAGGCTTTGTGGGGTTGGGCTGGTGACACCTCTCTCAGGTCTTCTGTTTTGGCATCCAAAGTTATAGTTGCACCCCAAGATGAGGAAAGGCACTGTACCCCAAGGACGCTGTGCCACTGCTGTGCCACTGTTATTATCTGCATCGTGACAGAGCCCAGCAGGCCTTGGCTGGGGGCAGCTGAGGCAGGTAGGTGGGGCCCAGGCAGGTGCCCAAAGTGGTGGACTCAGCAGTGAAGAGCGGAGACTTGACAGGGACTCAGGTCTAACTCCTGATTCTGCCACTTACTTGCTGTGTGGCCCTGGGGCTTTGTTTTTCTCATCTGTAAAATGGGGACAGACCCAGAACCTTCCTTATAGGCTGAGAAATCTATGAGTGTTCATAGGGCGTGAGATTGAGTGTTGTGGCACCAGGAGGATGATTATCACGCCAAGTGGAGCTTGTTTTCTAGCCTGGCCTGGGGCTGTTCCCCTGGAGGCTGCCAGGCTGCACCCAGCAGGCCGGAAGGGGACCTCCCGTATGTTTACTCCCAGGTGCCCACCGCTGTCAGGCTGGGGATGGAGGCAGCCGCCGTGTGGCCAGATAGGTGGCCGATAGCGGGCCTCTGGGACAAAGCTATCGGAGGCAGCGACAGGATACTGAATGGGCTTCTCCGAGCCGGTGCAGAATTGCATTTGGCTTGGATTTAATTAAAAAGACTCAAATCTTTCTGATAATCCTCCCGGCAACGGCTGGAGCAGGGCCTGAAGCCGGCTCCCTGGCAACGGCGCATCCTGCTGATAAAGAACTTGCAGGGAGGAAGCCGCGAGCCCCTCGCCCCCAGCAGCCCAGCAGCCAGGGCTATCAGCCCTGCCCATCGCTGCGCAGGGGAGGGCCGAAGGGCGGGGAGCAGCTGCGGCCCCCATCTCCACAGCCAGCCTGGCCTGCTCGGTGCCCACGCTTCCGCAGTGCACAGGGTGGACTCTTTGTTCTCGGCCAAGCCCTGCACCCCGCTTCCAGCCTCCTCCCCAGGTGTGCCTGGCTCCTGCCTCCTCCTGGCCCCCCACAGAGGCTGTGGCCCCCATCTCGCTACTGTGCAGGGGGCAGGGGGCCGCCTCTGTTAGAGCTGAGACTAGAGGGGCAGGGTGTGGCCGGGCACTGGGTCCTTCCAGGTACCACTCCCGCCTCTGAGCCTCTGCGGGCCTCTGCGCGGCAAAACCCGACTTGTCCTAAATCCCAGCCTGGGTGTTCCTCTCCCTCCTGATCTGATTTACGTGTGAGTCCCCCACCCAGTGGAGAGTGCACCCAGAGAGAGAGCAGGGCTCCCTGGCTGCTTGATGCCTGGCTGAGTGACAGACTGAGTGACAGGCTGAATGACAGACTGACTGACTGACTGACTGACTGATAGACTGACTGACTGACTGACTGACAGACTGACTGACAGACTGAGTAACAGACTGACTGACTGACAGACTGACGGACCGACTGACTGACTGACAGATTGACTGACTGACTGACTGACTGACTGACAGACTGACTGACTGACTGACTGACAGACTGACTGACTGACTGACTGACTGACAGACTGACAGACTGACAGACCGAGTGACAGACTGACTGACCGACTGACTGACTGACTGACAGACTGAGTAACAGGCTGACTGACTGACAGACTGACAGATTGACTGACAGACTGATGGACTGACTGACTGACTGACAGATTGACTGACTGACTGACAGACAGACTGACTGACTGACTGACTGACTGACAGACTGACTGACTGACAGACTGCTTGACTGACAGATTGACTGACTGAATGAACGAATGAACGTAGCTGGGCCAGGCTGCCTCAGTGCGGGGCTCTGACTCAGCCTCACTGCACACCACAGCCCGGCAGGCAAAGGACAGCTGCAGCCTGAAGCCTTCATCATCTCCATCACGGTGTGCTCCTCACTCACACTGCAGCCTCCACCTCCAGAGGAGCGCAGAGGCAGCCCCGCGCTGGGTGGGCCCTGTCGCCACGAGAGCACCTGCTCCGTGCTGTAGCAGGCAGGAGACAGGGGCTCTGGGCTCAGACGGATGGGTTCGCTGTTCATCCCCATCGCCCTTGAACGCTAGGGCCCACGGCGAACCACCGCACGCCCTGGCCTGGGCTTCCCGCCCCGCAGTGTGGGGACCCCTGTGTTTCATGCTGACCGGGATCCAGCTGTGGTGAGCAGCAAGCCCCTGGTAGCAAGAGTGGCGTCACATGCCTGCTTATGTTGCTCTATTTTACAGATGGGGAAACAAAGGCCCGGGAGGCAGAGCTGGGGTTGGAAGTCAGGGCGGCTGGGTGGGAGGGTCCTTATCCCCTGTCACTAATCTCTCTGGCCTCCTGGGGTGACAGCTTCTGCTTGCTCCTCCTCCTCTTCCCCTCCTTCACCTTCTTCTTTTCCTCTTTCTCCCCTCTTTATGGACGGAGGACAGAGCTCAGGGCCTCACACATGCCAGGCAAGTCCTTTGCCACCGAGCTGCAGACCCAGTCCCTTTGACAGTTTTAAAATTCTGAGGCAGGGTCTCTCGGAGTTGCCCAGGCTGGGGTACAGTTCATGATTCTCCTTCCTCAGCTGTCTCAGCAGCTGGGGTACAGGCGTGCACCCCACGCCTGGCCACCCAGGCTTCTTGTCTGGTTTCTCCTCTGCTCAGTGACATCCACCCGCCCACCACGAGGGCCTTTGCTGGCCAGCCCTCCCCTCTGGGTCCCCTCGCCACTTTCCCCTTCCCTCCCCTTCTCCCCATTCATCTCTCCCAGGCATCTTTCCCGGGGCCCAGGACTCAGCAGGGGGCAGAGAGGATGTCACCTGTGACATCAGAGCTCTGGGGAGGACAGGTGCTGAGGGAGGGGGGCTGAGGGACTGGGGCATCTTATGGGGAGGTGGGGCCAAGGCACTCGGAATTCAGAGGCCCTGGTGGGGAGCAGAGGTGGCCAGAGCCAGGTGCGGCTGTAAGGAGGAGGGAATGCTGCTGGAAGTTGGTCCTGGAGCAATGGGGGTGTGTGGCTGGGGGGCGGGGTCTTGGGTGGCTTTAGACGTCAAACTCCTGCTGTTAATGCTCTATTTTATTTTATTATTTGTGTACGGGGGATTTAATGAACCCAGAGCCTTTGCACTGAACTACATCTCCTGCCCTTTAAAATTTTTTTTTTTTTTTTT